GGAGTGTGCTTACAGCAGTGACAGGTAGCAACAAGGGGGTCTGTGTGCCTCACCAGCAGCCTGTGAGCTGATCTTCCAGAGGGGCTTATCCACCCCCAGGGTGGTGCAGAGCCCATGCAGAGACCTAACACAGTGAAGTGCAGGCTTAGGGCTGGCTGCTTTTGACAACAGTGCATTTAACTTTACGCCTCTCAGGCGGTGCCTACCCCCCATGCTGGCTTTACATAAAAGCCACACATCCTTCTAGATCACCCACGACTATGGGCCAGGTGCTGTCCCCAACACTGATTGTGGGCAAGCCAAGCTATCGCCATGCAGGGCTGCTGAAATAAAATGTGTGACTGTGTTCCAAGACACCTTAATTGTTTATTAATTACTCCATAAATCATAGTGACACCTGTGTTTGTGCTCCTGTTAATTCGCTCTCACATGGTGGGGGATGGAAGTACAACATACTTTCTTGAGAAGTGCATGGGCCAAAGAATAACTGGGTCTTGGCTGTGGGACGGAAGTACCTGAATTGGGAGGGGGACACCAGGGCTTCTCCTTCATTAGTCAGCCCCAACTGCATTCCTGTCCACCCCTGGCCAAGACCACGGCTGGAGCCTTGACAGGGTATGGGTAGGGTGAGGTGCTCTACCTCCTCCATTTGATTTCATCTTCCCGGAAGCTGGTAAAGAGAGGAGTTGTATTCATTTTATAAGGGAGAAAACAAGGCTCAGAGATTTCATGCAAGTCCCAAGGTCACACAACCAATTAAATGCAGACTTTGAACATGAATTTGCTTGACTCCAAATGATGTAACCCTCGTGGAAGAGGCAGCCTGGGGAGGAGGGAGCTTTCCTGTTAATCCCTGATACCTCATATGTATCTTTCAGATTTGCCCATGGAAAGGCAATCTGTTTAAATGTTAATATCCCTCATATGTCTTAAGGATCATATCTAAAAGGGAAACAGAATTCATGCAGAGTGCTTTAGCTGGGTGCCAGCGCTAGAGTCCCCCTCTAACTGACCTCCATTCCAGACAGTCAGCTGTCCCCATCCCTGGGAGCCTCTTTCTGCCCACATCTGTTGGCAGCCATCAGCGACCAAGCGCCTAGCCCTGGAGAGCGTGCGATTGCTCCAGATGGCTAATAGAACTTTATTGCCACAATCATTCTTAATGTGGCCATTCCAAAGCCCCTGTTTGGAAGCTCAGCTCCTGCAGTGTGTACAGCAGTCCCTGGTTGCTGGGGGTAGGGCCGTTGCTACCTACCCCCCTCTCCTGAGCTTGATAGCATACTTCTGCATATGCTATGATGAACTGGCTCTTAGGAAGTCAAAGAATGCCACAAAACTCATCTTCGGGGTAAACATCTGCCCCTGGGCTGAGATCAGCGCTTTGAAGAGAGGAGAGAGTGCTCAAGGCAGTGGCTGGAAGAGGCTCTCTGTTTTGGGTCCTGAGCACGGTGGAAGAAGGGTGCATGCCAGGAGTAGAGGAAGAGGGCAAGTAGGGGGTGACAGGCCCTCCATCCTCTCCCAATCAACCCTGCTTGTCCCTCAAGGCTCAGCTTCGAGACCTTCCTGACAAGCCAATCCTGGTATCCTCTGTCTTTCACAACCTGTTCTTTTCTTCCAAGTACTTTCTTCCATTTGTGATGATAAGCTTACTAGTGGACCAATTTGTTTAATCTGTCTCTCAGACATTAAACTGTGCAGGGCTATAGTTTGTTTTGATTGGCACAGTGCCTGGCACATAACAAGTACCCAATAAATATTTGTGCACCCAATAAATAAACAAATGAATGAATATTATCATTGAGCTATCGTTACTCTCTCCTGAAGAACGATTTTCTCAGGATCTACTGATAGAGAGTCTCATGATGTGCTTACTAGTAGGTGATTTAAGATTTGAAGGAAGGAGGAAGGACACTAAGATGCTTTCAGAGGTTAACAGAGAAATTAGATTCTGGGCCCTGAAGCCTGAGGCTAAGATGCCCAACTTTGCCTGGCACACAGTGGTTACTGAACATTTTTCTTTTTTTTGAGATGGAGTCTCGCTCTGTTGCTCATGCTGGAGTGCAGTGGCACGATCTTGGTTCATTGTAACCGCCGCCTCCCGGGTTCAAGCGATTCTCCTGCCTCAGCCTCCCGAGTAGCTGGGATTACAGGCGCCTGCCATCATGCCCAGCTAATTTTTGTATTTTTAGTAGAGACGGAGTTTCACCATGTTGGCCAGGCTGGTCTCGAACTCCTGACCTCAGGTGACCCATCTGTCTTGGCCTCCCAAAGTGCTGGGATTACAGGTGTGAACCACCACACCCGGCCAGCACCGAACATATTACACAATAAGTGAATGAATGAGAAAAGGCTAGAAAGAATTTATTTACTCTTTGTAGATGGCAAAGTAAGCAAGTCTGTAGCAAGTAAGCAAGAGAAAACTACCTATGCCTGCCAAAAAAGGAACAGGGTTGTTTGAACCCTACTTGCTATATTCATGAGGTAATTTCACCACAGCAAGAAGTGGGCATTCGACTTTCCAGCCCTCTACCTCCTCTTTATGTTCTCCCTGAAAGGAACTGCCAGTGGCTTAGCACCTTCCAGCAGGGAGGCAGTGAGGTGCCAGGCCATCTCTCTGGGCTCTGGAATGTGGTGGGACTGGAGGACATTATTGGTCAGTACCAGGATAAGGACAAGGGAAGCCATGGGCCTTGGAAGAGCCACCAGAATAGCAGAACCACCTGTCATCAAGAAAAGGAGCTTATAGGGAGGTCAGGAGGTGGGGATGCCTCCACCTCCCCACTCTGTCCCCTGGTCCTTTCCTCCACTGGGGCCAACTGCCTTGAGTAGGCAGGGCCTCAAACTGAAAGGAGCTTACTGGGAGTCCAGGAAACAGCCAGGGTGGCAGAGAGTTGCCCAGCGGGATGCATGGCCTGCAGGCAAAACTTGGTCGTGTTTGCTGGACTAGGTCAGTTGTATTTAGTCACTATAGTTGTCGTGGGGCTGGGGGAAGCCTCATGAGGGGCATGGAGCTTGATTTAGACCCCAAGAGTAGGTTGGACTAGCAGGAGGGCAGGGGAGCTTGGAAGGTGGGGGAAGACTGTGAGGACAGAATGGAGGAGTGGGGCACAGGGGCTCAGGGGAAAGGAGGCAGGGAAGATTCAAGAGGAGGCCCACTTCTGGCCAAGGAGGAGCTGCAGAGCTGGACTGTGAATCCAGGGGCCTGGAACTGTGCAGTTCTCCCTACAGGCTGGCAATGATAGGACCACAAAGATGAAGGAATGAAGGTAGCACTGAGGACTGAGAGGGGTAAGGAAGGGTGAGAGCCTCCAGCTAGAACAAACTATATATGGCCTGCAGAAAGAACTGGGAGATGTGAACTAAGGCCATAGATTTGGATGCCAGAAAAATCCCTATATTGGAATATTAAACACCTGGTTTATAAGAAAACTTAGGAAAGATGTGTTGTGATCATTAGAACTCACCCTGGGTTACTAAGTTTTGTCAAATTAACTTCATATGTTGGTCAGAGCTTCTATCAAAATCTTTCAGGTAGACAGATCAGGGGAGAGGTCATACCTGTGTAAGCCCGGCTTGAGCACATCAGAGACCTTGCAGTCATACATTATCTCCACAATTCAGATGAAAAAATGTGTGTTTCACATATTATATCATTGTGGGAGTCAAGTAGGGGTGGGGGCAATGTTAAAGGTCTCTAGATAGGGTGAACATCTAACATCATGTACACGGGTTTATTTTTGAGAGTAGGATACGTGTCAGCTGAGTCCTTTGGGAAGCAGACATAAGACCAGAGGGCAAAAGGTTTATTGGAGAGGAAGTGAAAGAAAAGTGAAGAAGGAAGTAGAATGAGGTGGGGGGGGGTGCTGTGAAAGCACAGTGCAGACCTGCCAGAGTCTTTTCAGTCCAATGGGGAGCTCTGGAGCCAATGCTGACTATTAGAAGAAGCCTTTGTTGGGTGGAAATGTCTGGGTCCTTGTACTAACTTACTCATTGGCCAGGATGACTGGCTCAAAAGCTAAAGTGGTCCTGGGGGATGCAACAGGTGTAGGTAACCACATTCCTTGCAGGAGGCCAGCAAGTCCTTCCTTGAGTGAGTATCTGAGTAGCACATCTCGGTGTCTGGCGCCAATCACTGTTGATAATAATGTTGGGATAGAAGAAGTAAATCAGGATTGTCCTCAAAAACTAGGACATCTGGTCACCATATTTCAGAGGACTTTTATAGAATTCAGTCTTGGATTTAGTCTTTTTCTCTCTTGGTCCTATTCTGTTAATTTTTTTCTTTAACCAATTGCTTGTCTTGACTAATACAGCTAACATTCATTGACCACTTATTTATATGCCAGGCATGAACTGAGCATTTTATAAATTCATATAAATTCATTCATTTAATTCTAATGACCTCAAGAGGCAGATACTATTATCATAGTTATTATAAATTACACATAAATACTTACTATAATTATATACTTACATATAATACATATACTTAGAAATAATATACAATATAGAACATTTATAATATAAGCTTATATGTGATATTATATGCTTATTTGATTATACTGGTATTATAATATCATTCATTTTACAATGAGGAAACAGGCACAGGGAGGTTATGTGGCTTATTCAAGATCATACATCCTATAGGTGGTAGAGCTGGGTTTTAAACCAAGAGGTTTGCTTGCAGGGCCTGAACTCGTGGAATTTTGAGCTAGCAGGATTTCCAGAGGTCATATCACTGAGATCCAGAGAAGTTATATAACTTTCCTATAGTCACATAGAAGGTTAGGACTAGTGCTTATCTTCCTGACTCCTGAGTCCAGAGTTTCTTTAACACAGCATACTTCAGATATGCTTATTTGTAGATAATAGAAAGTTGGAAAGGAAAATTCTGCAACTGAAGATACAATAGTGGTTCAAAGTGATTTTGATAGACTAGAATGGGGGCTGAACCAAAAAGATGAAAGTTAACAGAGACATATGTAAATTTCTACATTTAGGTTCAAAAGCATCAATTGTACAAGTGCCAGCTGGAGAAGACCTTGCCTGAATGCAGTTTGCTGGTAATGAGATCCATCAGAGATGACATGAGGTGAGAATGAGGAGATACAATTTTAGGCTGCATTAATAAGATGTCATTCAGATCACAGGAAATGAGGATCCTCCCTGTGCATCCCTTCTCCTACATCTGGGAAGTCAAGTACTAAGCTTTGTTCTTGACACTATGTTTTAACAGGGATGGAGACTAAGTCAAGAAGCCCCAGAGAAGGGTGCCACGAGAACATGGCCTCTAAACTGTTGCATGGAGAGTGACTAGAGGTGCTGGGGACTCAGTGGGACTGAGGTCAGGTACATTGGCCATTCAGCCCACATTGCTGCTCTCTCAGAGCTGGCAGGGGCTGGGCCACCTGTAGCCCATCCTCAGAAACTCTGCAGAGGCTGGGAGCCTGAGCTCACATGTGTATATGCAAACATGCTAGCCTCAATAAAGGAAGGTTTAAGTTCAAGAAATTGCCAATACTCCAATGTCTCTTCCCCTAAAGTTTCCTGGGACCCTTTTACTCTCCTATCCCATGACCTTTTGTTTTGTCATCATTAAGAGTAGTGACAGAGCCCCCAAAGGCTCGCCCAAAGCCTCTCTCAGAAACCTCACAAATAGGAGGGGAGGGTATTCTCTGCAGGGGGCTAGAGTTCTCAGGTAAGGGGATGGCCCGAGAGCCTGGGGATTTGGGTTGACCATTTAGGGGAATATCTTCTTAAAACTCTGTCCTATTTTGGCTTTAGGACATGGTCTATCCTGGTTCGGGTGAACAGGCTGGCTTACTGAGCTAGTGAGCATCCAAGGTGCGTAGAAATCTGGGAGAGGGTGCATAGGATGAGGTGAATTAGAGAGTGTTGAATTTGAAGTGTGAGTGGGTTCTCCAACTGGAAGTATTTCTTACGGGTTAGGAGCTCAAGAAAGGTGGGGACTAGGTCTGGGGAGTGTTACTAACACACAGTTGGTAGTTAAAGCTGAGAGTCCAAGGAAACTGGGAAAGTAGACCCTCCTTACTGAAATTGAAGTCTGTAGACCAGCAGCATTGACATCACCTAGTTAGACAAGCAGAATCTTAGTCTCACCAGTCACAATCTGAATTTTAAAAACATCCCCAGGGCATTTATGGGCATGTTAAAGTCAGAGAAGTGCTGCTCTAGGCCAGTGGTTTTTGTCTCAACCCTGGGTGCATATCTGAATCGCCAGTCCCTGGGCCCTGCACTGAGATTCTAATTTAATTGGTCTGTGGTGAGACCAAGGCACACATCTGTGTGTATGGTGTGTGTGTGTGTGTGTAAAAACACCTTCCCAGGTGATTCTAATATGCAGCCAGGATTGATGTAAATCAGTCATCCTTGAACTTGAGTGTGCGTTAGAATCACCTGGAGGGCTTGTTGAACTACAGGTAGCTAGGTCTCACCACCAGGGTTTCTAATTCAGCAGGTCTATGTGGGGCTCAAGAATGTGCATTTCTAACAAGTTCCTGGGTGATGCTAAGGCTACTGGTCGCTAGCCAGGACTTTGAGAACCATTGATATATAGAGTGAGGAGATGCCAGAAGAAGGTCCAGGATAGAATCCCAAAGAAAATAAACATTTATGAAGTCAGCAGAGGAAAAAAGGAAAGAGGAGAGGCTTCAGACACAGGAGGTAAATCAGGAAAGAGAGCTCTCCCTGGTGTCTTTTCCACCAGACTATTAATGCCTTCAGGACTTACTTCATCCTGCTCAACCTTCCTCTTTTGCAAAGAATTAGTGTTTCAGATTCTCAACAACCACTACTTGAATATTTTATATCTGATCATGTCACCTCCCACCTTCAGGAGCTGCCCGCAGCTTTCAGAATAAAGCCCAAACTCCTTAACTCAGTACACAGGCCCAGCATGACAGGGCTGCTGGCATCCTTGGCTCCTCTCTCTTAGTGGACCTTTTGCCCCAGGCATCACAGCCTACTTGCCAATCTTCATTAAGTTTGCTGTCTCATCCCTCCCTGTCTCTGCAGTACTTCTTGAGCCCTCTTCCTCTTCCTCATCTCACTGCTCCTACTCAGCAAGATTAGAATTCCCTCAGGGAAGGTGTCTCTTTTTATTTATTTATTTTATCTCTTTCCACCCCACCCTTCGCCACCTCCAACTTCTAGCTCAGTTCAAACATTGCCTCCATCTCTCAAGCCTGCCATGGATCCTCAGGCTAGGACAGGTCCTCCTACCATGTTCCTACTTTCTGTCACAATACTCATCACACCACTTCACAGTTGTTGATTTAATTATCTGCCTCCCTCACTATGTGTGGGCGTCCTTTGAGCAGAGAACTGGGTCTTACTTGATTTTTGCATCCCTAGCTCCTAGTACAATGCCTGGCACAGAGCAGGCGCCAACATTTGTTCATTGAATGAAAAACTAGAGCAACTGGTGAGAAAGTGGATACAAGTGCAGACACATTTGAGAACCAATGTCCCCTTCCTTCAGCCCACAGTGTCTATCAGATGCATGCTTCCTGTAGATGGTTTGCTCCTTCCCCAGAAGGGAAGAGAAAGGACCCCCCCTTCTTGTCACTGTCTCATGGGAGAGCATCTGCTGATCACTTCTGCAATACTTGCAATGGGTTTTTGGTGTCTTTATCTCCCTGGCTAGCTAGCATGACCACCTCTCTCCAGACCGCAATAATGCAGGACACATGCTCTACTCAGATTGGCATTTCTTGATTGCATAATGGACAGCTAGCAAGATGAGGGGCAGAGGGTGGAGGCATCTTTTTTCACTCCTGTGTGTATCCCATGCTCCATGTGGCCCACTCAAATAGACTGTGAAGGGGAAATTCGGCCTCCCAAAACCGCCTGGTGGCCTGAGAGTCAATGTCAATAACTCCCTGGGCCCTCAAGGCTCACACACTGTGGTTGCTTGAGCCAGCTACTATCTGGGCAGCTTCCTGATGGGCAATTTAATACACCAAACTGAGGAAACTGCCTAGAGAGAAGAACAAGGAGAGGGGCTTAGAGGAGAAGCCCAAGGATAGTACAATATTGCCACATTGCCAAACGCACTCTGATCTTCACAACTGACGTGAACAGCCTTTTTCTGTTGAACAAGAGCTTCCACACCTTCTCTTTCTTATTCCTCATGAGCTGCTCACAGGGAGGGAGGGTAGCTAGAGGTCAAATCCTCTTATCCACGAATGAAGGCCCCAAGGGTCAGAGCATGGGTCCCACAGTGTGTGAAGATGTCTTTGGATTTGAACCCAGCCTGGTCTGCCATGATCCTCCTCACCTCCTCAATATGCTGCCTACAAAAAAATGTTCAAACATGTATAAACCCATACAGGGTGCAAGTGCAAATTATTCCTTCTGTGGAAGTGCAAAATAGCCAAGTGGTGACGGGAACTTGGCAGGGATGGAGTGAAATGAGTCACGGACAGCTTTTTGAGGTAGGAGAGCTGTTCTGTGGGGCTGAGAGAGGAGGAGGGATGGCAGGCAGCGGGTGAGGGGAGAGAATTTTAGTGGAAGCAAGACAGGGGAGGAGGGGATGGTACACTGTGTGGCCTGCTTGCGGTGCTGGGCTGTGGACGGGAGCAATGAGACCAGGGGCAGGATCAGCTGGAAAAGCCAAGCAACGTCTGATTAATGTGGGCTCCCAGGCCAGAACTGTGTATGTGGGTGTGTGTATGTTTATGTGGAACATGGGTATGTGTGTGGGATGTGTGGGGGGTAGTGTGTGATGTGTGTGTTCGTGTATATAAGTTCAGGTAGGGTTCTGGGCATATCAGAAAGTTCCCAGTTTTAGGCTCCTAATATTCTTCTTTCTTTTCTTACTTGTGGATAGATACTGCCCTTCATCCATATACACACTGCTCAGTGTTAACCCTACATTCCATTTAGTTTTGGCTACCTGGGATTATGGAATTTATTTAACCAAGTTAAATAGACATGGACTACTTAGGTTAAGTTTTTGCACACACTTAGCTCAGAGTCAGGTATGGCTGCATTTGGGGACTCAGACAACATTTTTGGCATGCTGTCTTTTCTGTCTCTCAGCTCTGCCATTCTTGCTGTTGGATCACAGGCATGCTCTGTTCATGTGATGGCCATGGCACATATATCCATGTTTCTACCCTCCCAGCTTCAAGCCCAGTGGGAGGAAAACAACTTTTTACCTGTAGATCCAATGAAAATCCCAAATGGAATCTCATTGGCTAGGTTTAGGTCATGTGTCCATCTCTGAGCCAATCACTGTGGCCTGTAGGATAAAAAGCTTTGATTGGCTGCTCAGGTCACATGCTCACCTCTAAGCTTCAGGAGTGAGATCGAGCAGCCCAGAGAGAGGAACAGTTCCCAAAGGACCTTCGGGATGCTGGTGCTGGAGGGGCAAGTAGGTGCTGAGTTGGCAGACACAACACCTGCCTCTTCCTGTCAAAACAGGGCTTTCTAATTGTGTGAACTTGGCCTTCAATCTTGGCCCAGTCTGTGGTTGGCTTTCTCACCTGCCATTTTAAAAATAAAGTTCTTGTGAAGGGAAGTTGTTTAAGACTCATACTAGGGGATCTGAAGGTGGGCAGAAATTAGAGGAAGGTAGGCTGGCTCAGAGAGGGAACAGAGCCATGCTTGGTTACCTCCTGTGTGTGTCAGGTCCTGTACTGGGGGATGTTCTGACATTATCTCTTCAGTCTTCACAACCTCCTTGTGAGGTGGGTACCAGTGCACACAGATGAGGCGCTGGTATTCAGAGGAGTGAATTCTAAAATTGGGAAGTGGCAAGGCCGGATAGCAAAAGTGTACACCCTTTGAGCCCACTGCTTCCTGTAAGGTGATCATGCTCCAGCTGAGGACAAATCTTGAGGCTGGATGGAACCTCGGTATTGCGGCAATATTGTGAGTACCAGATTCAGACTTCCTTTCTAGAGCCAGTTCTTGTTCTCACTTGTTGAGTCCCAGGCTCCTAATATACAAAATGAGGATGATGATGTCTGTCCTGCTGAGATCCCAGAGTTACCCTGTCAGTCAAATGAGATCAAGGGTGAATGGGCTTTGGAAATGTCGAAGAGCTGAATATATGTGAAATGTGAAGGAAACCAGGGCTGGTTGTTAAAATAGTGATATCTTTCTGTACTGAGTAGTAAAGAGCCTCTGCCCTTGCCCACCCTGCCATCACTCTGGTTCCTTCCGAGAGCCCTTAGGTCTGGGACTTCTGGGACTGACCTCCATGATCCAGAAACCAAAGGAACAATGCCTTATTCTGGTCACAAGGACAGGGGGTAGACTAGAGAAATAATGGGACCTCCGGCTGCCCCCTATGTCCTGCCCCTTCCTGTGGGCCCAGATGGCCCTAGTGGCCCTTCTTTCCCCACAGTGATCTCTCTTCTCCCTCTCTGATTCCCAGTGTTCATCATGAAGCTGCCTGTACTGGAGGGGCTGGGAGTGGGGTTGGGGAAAGGTAATGTCTCCTGATGCTCTTCTCAGTACCTTGTGGGGTCCCTCAAAACCCCAGCCTCACCAAGGATTTCCTAACCTGTTTTATGTCACAGCTGAAGTGGGAAGGAGGGAGGAAGAATGATTGAAAGTCTCTGAGAAGTCCTATGGGAAGGGAAGTTTGTTTAGCCTGTGTTTCTGAATTATGATAAGTAATGTAGCCTGAGGGTTAGGAGCATGGGTTTGGGATCCAGATTGCCTGAAATAAACTTGTGGCACTTCACAGTGAACTTGGGCAAGTTACTAATGATGCCTGCATTTCAGTTTCTCACCTGCACAATGGGGATGTTTATAGCACCTACCGATTTTTGAGAGGATTGAGTAAAAGCATGTTTGTGGATCACTTATGTTTGGCTTGCAGTTAGCTATTATTATTTTTTAACTTGGATTTTTTTGGCAACACCTATTTTTCTTCTTTTTTCCTTCCAACTTTTATTTTAGGTTCAGGGGTTACATGTGCAGGTTTGTTATATGGGTGAATAGCATGTTGCTAGGGTTTGGTGTAAAACTGATTTTGTTACTTAGATAGTGAGCATAGTACATGATTGGGGTAGTTTTTCAATTTTACTCCTCCTTGCCACCTCTACCCTCAAGTAAGCCTTGGTGTTTATTGTCTCCCTCTTTGTGTCCATGTGTACTCAATGTTTGGCACCTACTTATAAGCGAGCACAC